GGTTCAATTCCTGCCCAATGCACCTCATGCTCAGCCACCATCCATCCGTCTGTCAGTGAAGGTTTGCGTGTTGCTATAATGCTGAATAGGTTTCAGCGGAGCTTCCAGACTAAGATGGACTAAGAACAAAGGCCTGGCAATCTACATCCAAAAATCAGCCAATGACAACCCCATGGATCACAACCGTCCAATCTAAAATCGATCATGGGGATGGTGCAGGACTGGGCAGTGTTTCACTCCGTTGTGCATGGGGTCACATGAGTCAGGGGCTGACTTGTGGCTGGGACTCCCGGCGCTCTGAGCTCCAGGGCGAGGCAGCAGAAGGTGGGGAAGGGGGCAGGTAAGGCTTTGCTAGAGCACACCCTACTCTTTCTTCTCAAAGTGGGGTCCGTGGACTCGTGGCGTTGGCACTACCTGGGAGTGGTTGCAAATGGGGCCTCAGGCCGTTGGCTCTGCTTTCTGACCAGCCCAGGGGAGGCGGGGCGCTGCTCTCCAAGGCACTGGGGAGGGCTGGTTACCACGTGGAGATGGCAGGTGGTATTGCCGGTCCCCACAGCGACAGGGAGACCCACTAGCCTGAGCCCTGGTGGGGCCAGCTGATGGACACGGCTGGGTGGTCTGAGGCATCCCCAGAAGCCACGGGGCTGTCTAGCCACATCTGGAGAAGTGGGAGAAGAACACACACTCAGGACACACACAGTGACCGCAGCATCGGCTCCGTGAGTGCTGATGGCTGCGCTGCCTGTACTTGGAGCAGCCCTGCCCAGGCACCGCGGGAAGCTCACGCCTCCTTCATGTTTTCATTCTCACATGGACTTAGGGGGTGGGCCTTTTGAAGCCTGTTTCACCGAGGGGGAAACTGAGGCTCAGAGAGTCAGGGGCTTGCCCCCATCACACTGGAGCGGCAGCGCCTGGACCCAAACCTAAGACTTCCTGACCTAAGAGCCAGGTGCTCCTAACCACTGGCGTCCCACCACCAAAGAAGAGGAGTCCCAGAAGACACGCAGTATGGCCTAGGGCCCAGGGGGCGTCCGACATGGGGAGAGGGCAAGAGGCCATCGTCAGGGAAGGGAGGTCAGGTGGCCAGGGCGGGCTGGTGTGGGAGCAGGTGGGCAGGAGACGCCACGCCACCCGCCTCCTGCCCAGGGACCACGAAGCAGGCTCAGGAAGCTGCAAACCCAAACCCGGAGAAGGGGCCTCTGGGTCTCCAGGGGAGGTGGCTGGCCTGACCTGTGAACGTTTTCCAGGGGAGGAGGGAACGTCTGGGGAGAGGCCAAAGTGCCATGGGAGTCTGTCCCAGAGAGCGTCCCCAGCTGGCTCCGTTCAGCTCCCCACAGGCGCCCGCCCCCCAGGATTGGTGGAGGTCACCGGCAGCGGGAAGGAGGCCAGAGGTCAGCCCAGGCTCACCGGGGAGGAGGGGTCACCAGGAGGCCCGCGGCTCACACCATCAGCCCTACACCATGGCGACTCAATGATCCCACTTCGTTTATTACCAAAATATCACACAGTTCCAGTCAGAGTTAACAGACAGCGTGAAGCACACACCTGATAACCTGTGAAGAGAACTAAGTATTTGGACAATTGTGTTGTTTGGAATTGTTAACACCCCAAACCGTGATCACTCCGTACTTCAAAAATACGCTTGGAGAGCTTTGGAAACTGAATTAAAATGTCTACACAGCTATGAACAATTGTTTAATAAAACTTTTTCATGTTTCCATTACATGTAAATATATCAATTTGGCATCTCTATAAAAACTCTGAAAATGGTGCAAAAGTTTCATTCTCTTTGAGAAAGCCATTGACAAAAAATATTCACACGTCACTGAAATTTTGAAAAATGGTCTTCTTTCAAAGCTTCTTTATTAATCTGAAATCTCCTGGATTATCAAAATCTAGGTTTGCTTTTTTTTCCTTCTAAAACACTAAAGAACATTTATTCACAAGGATAAAAAGGCAGTGGGAAGGTGGAAACCTGATCAGTGCTTTTCCGAAAATAATAAAAAAGCTGTTTACATAAGCATCCTCCAAAGAACACAATGGGATTCATTTTATTGTTGACTTTTGGACAGCAGTGTCATACTTTATTGAAAACAAACCCAGGTAAAAACAAAGTTAAAATGAAAAATGGTACCTGAAAAATAAATTATTTTATATAAAACAAATCAATAACTTAAAACACGCTAATATACACATCGTCTAACCATCTACGGTACAGCATGGGAATCAATTGGTAATGCCTCCCCCAACCGCCCCAAAGCAAGTTGTAACCAAACATCACATATGGTAAGAGGTGGCCCCAACGAAGAGACTTCTGGAAGTAAAAGACAGTCCTCTCAAGTCCCTGGTCAAACCACTGGTGGGCCTCACTTAGGTACTTGTGGTGACTTACAAATCATGTTCTTTTCAACGACCAAGCAAAAAAAAAAAAAACAAAAAAAACCAGAACTGTGTCACTGGAAGGGTATGGAAAATACGATACAATCATTAGAGGTCAGAGGAAAATCAGGTTTTGAAATGTGAGCCCTGTTGGGGGTCTGGGCCTCAGATGGTGGCTCACAGATTCTACCCCGATTATAAGAAACGGTCTATTATAAATGCCACTCAACAGAAAGCACTTGTGACTTCAGGGAGCTCTTGGGGACGTTTGGAGACGTGGGCCGGGAGCCTGAGGAACAGTGGAGCTGGCTCGTTAAGGAGCTGCCTCACAGCCCCGTGGGCGGAGGAGGTGCTGGGAAGACGGGAAAGGGTGTGAGGTGGAGGGTGGGAGCAGGAAGAGGCCCGATAGCTGATAGCTTATTCTTATTCCGTTTAATCCGACACATGAAGGCTGCAAAAAGCATAGAGACAAAAAAACCTGTGGACTCTGATGGGAAATGGAACAGCTGAGTGACGTTAACACCGGACGGGGGTAAGTCACGTCTTTTCAACATCCGATAGGCAAACGGCCCGCGTCTGGAGGAGAACCAGGGTAACTAACAGCCTGCAACAGTCTTTGGATTCATCTACTTCTCTTATCCAGAAGTGACCCCTTGGAGGCTGGGGTCCTGAAATGAACAGCAAGTGCAGACTCTCAAGTGTTAAGGCCTTTGGAGTGGGGGAGACTCACCTTCTGGGAACCCGGAAGGCAGGACCCCACCCAGCACCACCTGCATAAGGGCCCAGAGGCCCCTATTTCAAATGGTCGTGCAAGATGGTGGCAGTGGAGGGGACAAAGGCCCCTGGGTGGGGAAGCACAGTCACAGTACTTGTGACCAGAGGCACAGCCAGCAGAGAGAACCACGGCTTGGCCTTTTATGCTGAAAAGCCAAATGAAGGGCAGAGCCAAGGGGAGAACCGGGTCATTCAACCGGAACCAGGTTCTCTCACAAAGTCCGAGCTGCTCAGTATGGTGTAACTATCAGGGGAAGTTTTACAGGCCAAAAGAGAATTCAATCAAAGCCTCTTTGGTATACTACCAAATCAAACTTCTGTTTAATCAAATTTCTCAAATAAAAGGAGAGTGCTCACTTTGCTAAATACAAATAGGATCAATCTACATAAACATTTTTTTTTCTTCTGGAAAATTCTGGTTTCTTCTGGATTGTGACTTTAACAAAAGAGACCTTCTTTTGGCAAACCAGCCTAGATAAGATGCACTGAACTTTGAGGGCACAGGGTCAGCATCTAGGATCTGGGTAATGCGTGAAAACGGCTCTTGGAGAGGAATGTTTCAAAAGCTAAGCCCTTCCCACACGCTGGCAAATTACAACTCCCAAAGGAACACGCTGCGGTTTTTTAGCTAGAAGGCTATTCAAACAGTGGAGACCACGTAAGAGGAACATTTCACAAAACCGAGAAACTCGAGGGAGCTTTCCAAGGTTCACAGACTTGACGTGTCTGTCCCAGCATTGGAATAATCCATATGGTTCTGATAAGGGCAGGGGACAAGGTGTTGGCTGTGTACCCATCACCATTTTCACAGTTAATATTCAAGATGGCATTCTCTTGAGAAACAAGACACTATCTGAGGCCAGCAGGAATGTGTGCACACGAGGAGACTCAAGGGCGAGTTTCAGAATTAGGAACCCCACCTTCACTCAGAAGACACCCACCGGAGGTGTCTTTTCCCAAGAAAACACCGTTCCGGGGCAAGACAGCTCTGGGCTGACAGAGCAGAGACAGCCTCGGTGTCCAGTCCAGGCTCACCGCCTTGGCTCTGGGTTGTGAGAGGCGACACACAAGTTGGCTTCCATTTAGGATCCGTGACTTTTGTTGGAGCTGGGGGCTAAGTCCTCCGTGGCACTTGGCCAACTGCGACAAGCCCTGGGTACAAATTTGCCTATTTGTGGGAAAAGTATGTGGCGATTTCTTAAACTAGTGAGGACAACACGCATGGCCGGCGGCAGCACCTCAATTAAGCGTCGGGGCCAGGGGGAAGGAGGCAAACAGCCTGGGGCACCCAGATCGCCCACGGGCTGCTCAGAACCCTGACCTGCTCTAGAGAAGCGCCTGACGCCCGATTTTCCATGCCAATAAAGAAATAAATAAACAGGCAGATAAATAAATAAATAAATAGATAAATAAATAATTCCATCATTCCGTTCTATCTAGAACTAAAACAAAAGCCAAAACCCAAACACATTTTAGACATTTAGTCTCATGGCAAGGTTAAAAACTGCCGGTACTAAGTTATCTCCCCCCCACCCCCGCCCCTTTTTGGAGTCTCTACACACGAGTTATGTATAAAAGTCAGATCACGTTCCTGAAGAGCTGCCCGGAGTCCGGGCCCTGCCTCCACCACAGGCCCCGTCTCGGACGCTTCCTATCGACGCCCGGTTTAAATCACGCCGACCTGTGACTGCATAGTCCCTACGTCACAGATTTGCGAGTGCTTTTCCTCGAGGCCGGGGTTTGTTTCTGAAGACCTTATAAACAGATTCTCCCTGAAAGCTGGCCCGCCTGTCCCTTCCCTAGCCAAAAAAGAAAGAAAAGGTAAAATAAAAAAAACAAAACAAAACTCGAGCAAAACAAAATCAAATTTAATGGTCTTAAATGCAAAAGTAAAAACAAACAAAAAACACAAAAAAAGCAAAAGAAAAATTAACAGAGCAACCCAAAATGTCAAGGCAGTTATGGAGAGAGCGTTGCGGGTTCATCTTTAGGACTACAATCAAAGACTTTTGTTAATAGCTAACCAGCAAGAAGTACTTTTCTGCTGAGTGTTCATACGAAAGCAAAATTTCAAAACAAAAATCCGACTAAAATAGGAAGGAAAGCCTAGCGCTCACAAGAAGGGATGCGAGAGATACAATGCTCAAATGTTTATGTGTGGTTAAAACACAGCGCTATGGTACGTGTTCAAGCTGTGGTGAATGGTCTCAGAGACTGGAGGAAGTGAACAACCGTGTCCGCTGTGGGGGCACCATGCATGCATGTTTGGGCAGATTCGGGAAGTCGGAGCAGCGACAAGTCTCCAGGTGTGCCTGGAGCTTAGAGCTGACTCTGGAATACACTGGAGTTTCCCTGAAACTCTTTGGTCCGTCCCCATTGGCGCCCGGGCTTACAAAACCTGTGTGTGCCCTTCTCTGGACGGCCCGCGGCCTCCCTCCCTGTGGAGGCGCCCCTCAGACGGGCACGCTGGCCCTCCCAAGGCCGCTCGGCAGAGCCTGGGGCTGAGTGAGCGGGAGGTGGCAATGGGACCTGCTCGGGGAAGCAATTTCCTGCCAACCAAAGCATCAATCGCTTAAAATGTGGTAGCGGTTGAGAAAACGCACACTCAGTGTCTGTCTAACATCTGTAGTTGAAAAACTAAAACTAAAAGATAACGTTTCCTTTTTTTTATCCAGTTCGTGGAGACATCAAATGAAACGAAATGTTAGACAGTCTTATAAGTTAAAGCATGCTTCAGTTTTACCACCATCCAGAGGGACTGGTTAGTTAATGCAGTCTACTTAGATTTCTGTTTAATATATATTTTAAAGGAAATAACTTAAGAAACTTAAAATTGGTCTAACATTGTGGGATTTCAAACATTTGAACATGTCAGTTGCATCCCAGAGTATAAAAAACCTTTTCACTTCTCATTTAGACTAAGACAAACACTTGTGAAAATTGGCGCAAAGTGAGTTGTACACTAACAAAAAAGTTTCAACTTCGGTCACTCTTAATTATCTATTCCGTACAAAAAAGCATGAGCGAGTTATTTGTGGGACTTGTTGGTTTTGAACGAAACCTGTAAGATTTTGTCCCCCAGGCGGTAGCCGTTCAGACTGGCTATGGCCATCGCGGCTTCTTCATAGTTTGTCATGGTCACAAAGCCAAACCCTTTGCACTTGTTGGTGTTGAAGTCGCGGATCACTTTCACATTGGTGACGGCGCCAAAGGGGCCAAACATCTGCCAGAGGATTCCTTCGTCGGCGTCCTGCCCAAGGTTGTAGATGAAGATGCACCAGCCCGAAGACGCATTGCCTGGGACGTTGACGCCAGAGAGCCCGCTCATGTGATCGACACCCATCGGGGAGAACCTAGCGGACAGAGAGAGCACAGTGTTCAGGCCATGTTCGGGCAGGCGGCCGCGTCCACACGTGAGGGCCCGGGAGGAAAGCCTGGCACACGTGGACACTGGGTCCTTCCCTGTCTACACTGCCGAGCTCGGCCACTGCTTGGGGCACGAAGTCTTGGACACCTGCATCAGTCACGATTGCTTTTTTTAGCTGAGAGGAATTCTGTATGGAGCTGGAGGAGGGCGAGAGTGGGTCCCAGCTCTATGGGTGATTAGCACTGAGAGGACACTTGACTCTCATAGATGGGGGAGCCCCAACTAACCCCATCTCAGTGCAAAGCCCCCACTGCAGCCTCTGAGCAGCTGCTCTCTCCACCCCTCACAGGGGCATGCCCACGTTTAAATGGTGGACGCGCTCCCCACATCCTTCCAGAAGCTTCTCACCCTCAGTGTTCTCTGATGGAAACTCTTTCCTCTCATACTCTGTGTCTGTGTGTCTCAGAGTGGGGGGATAGGGTGAAACTAGATTTTTTTTCATTTCTTTTTCCAAATTCTGTACCTTCCCCTCATCATGGCCTTCCCTCTCTGAGGGTCACAGCTGAGCAGCGGCCAGTGAAAGCGCCCCCATGGGGACTGCTGTAGAGGGCAGGGAGAAGTCCTTCCCACAGCTCCAGAGAACTGAGGGCTGAGGGCTCAGACAGGGGGTGGGGCCCGGGAGGGACACTGGCAACTGCAAGTTCACCCAACTTCACCAAAAACGGGGGACGCTTTCCAAAGCAACACTTTCGATTTACACCAAAAATAAACCTTGTGAAAACGTGTAGACGTTGCAAGAAGGATTCAGGTAGACGGGTGATAAACTGGTTGCTGAGGTCATGGTGCCCTCCCGACGTCACACACATTTAAAAATACTCAAGTACGAGACCGCAGTGAAGCCACACGATCCTGCTGGAGGAGGAGTACTACCTGCTCCAAAATAAAATTGGGCCTGGAGCCGTGGGACCCAACGGCCAAACACTGTACCTCAGGTCCCATCCAGGGGCCAATGAACGGTCACTCTCTCAGCAGATGACAGACAAGCGTGACCAGCCCACGATGCTGCTCACTGCCCCCAGAGTCAGTGCCAGTGCAGGCACAGAAGACTCTAGATACATTATCAATCATGGTTTTAAAATCTCAAGAATAATTCTGAACAGCCCACATCAGGATGACCAAGTTGGTTGGATGACTGGATGGCTCCTGAGTGGCCCTGACTCCCAGCATCATCGAGACATGGCTGGTACCCAAGCATCTATGACATGAAGTGGGCTGGGTGGCAAAGAGAACTAGAAAAAGGTTTCCACTTGTAAAAGGACCTTGTTTGCTCTGACTTTTGTAGGATGTGGCCTTGGTCCTCAGTGCCCCCATTTTCCACAACCACCCTGGAGGAAACCAAGCAGGGACACACGTTACTATCTTTCTGTGAGTTTTTATGTAGCTGTGATGCCAGAAATAATCCGAGGTCATACTTTACTATGTTTTAGTCAAGTTATTCTCATTCTTATTATTCTTGTCAGTTGGTTCTTCTGCTAACTGAAGCTGATTTCTTTTATCTTGACAGTCCCTCGCCCCTGAATTCTTTCCTCTGACGGTAGAGAAAGACAGGCCTCTCCTGACATGAGTGTAAGAAGTGGCTGCAACCTCGGTTCTCCTGGGTCTTTCTTCCCCGTATTCTTTATCTCAGTCTGCCTTCTGGCGGCGATGCTTTTCCTCCTTCCCTGACTCCCTAACCTGCCCCTTCCTTCCAGTTCTTTCCCCTGGGCTCCCTGTGGTCGCTGTGATCACTGTCTGCTTGACCAGCAACTCCAGCTCCTCAGGCTTCCCTTTTCTGCTCCTAGTCACTGTGACCAAAGGCCTCCTTCTTCTCTGACCTCCCCTGCTTTCCCAGTTCCAATTATCAAGTGACCCACTGACTGTTACGTCCACACCACCCACCCTATTACGAGTGATTCTAATGGTATTAGCTGACTTTTCAAATTGGATAGAGGTCCCTTCTCACCACAGTCACGTCCCCAGCCACTGTTTTTAAACTAGAAAAGGCAAGGAAGAAAGGCCAGCTTCAGAGTCTGAGCAGAGCGGAGAACTGTGGATTACTCAACTGTGAACATGCCTCTCAAGACAGCATTTGTGGGGACGAGCAGGGACGGTTTGACCTTGGTGCTTAAAATGAAGATGGGAAAACCGAAAAGCCACTGAATTAAGCCCTCGTGCTGTTTTTGGATGTTTTGACCAAAAATAAAAACTTAAAACAGCCCCACAAATTGTGATCTCCTCTGGCTAGTGAGGTGATAATACCCACAGGTTGGAGTCCAAGTTACTGACTCTAATTGTCTCTTTTCTACTCTATCCTGGCAACAAGCACCGTTTCCAATATGGAAAGACTAAGACTAAGCGTTTTCATTATGTAAACACTGTTCACCTCTTGCAAAGGGCTTTTAAACAGCAGGCCTTTCACATTTAGATACAAAAATGACTCCACAAGGAACGTCTATGAAAGGTTCATCTTAAGGCTGCTGACAAATGTCTAAACCTGGTTTAAAAACTCTGGAAAACAACTCTCTTCTAACCACACCAAAAGCCGCTTTTTTCTCCCACGGATCTTTTAAACCATGGCTCTGTTCTCATTTTACTAGAAGCTATGAGTATGAGCTGTATGTGCTCATTCTTATGGTAGCTACTTGGGACTTGCGCCACCTTTTGGATTCCAATTAAAGACACGGCTTTCACGCAGATACGTTTATGACGGGCAGAAGCACGGAGACGGGAAATGACTCCAAATGTGCCTTTCCAAGAGGCTGGGCCTAGCGTCCCCAGCATTTTCTGTTTGCTTGAGTTACCCCAGGCCTGGCTCCAGCTGCCTGGGAGAGCGTCAGGGCCCAGGGGGACGCAGGCACCGAGTAGGTGCCGCAGCGCAGGCCTCCCGCAGCGCCGCCCTCCTGACCCACCTGAATCTCTGCGCCTGGTGGTGCACGGGCCCTCCAAACCGTCTCGCGGGCGAGTGGTAGAGCTGGGAGAGCAGCGCCACGTTTTTGTTCTGGTTGGGATTGGCGGCAAACTTCACTGTGATAGGCTCGGAGGAACCTGGGGGTTTATGACCATTGAAACTGGTAATTGCCTCTTCTGCCTCCGACCGTTTGTCAAACCGGATAAACGCAACCCCTCTGGACAAACCTTTTTAACAAACCAATAAAAATAAAGTTAGGGGGAAAAAAAGAACTTTTCAAACTGAAAAACAAAAGTCAAATCAGTCTACTGTGCTTCAGAGTGAATTCCTGGTTAATGAAATAAATAAAAATTAAACCTGAAGATGAAAATAAACAAACGGATTAAAAAAAAAAACAAAAAAGACAATAAAAGACTAAGGTCTCAGACTTTCTTCTGAGCTGAAGCAATGATGCCATAGTCTCAGTGCTAATAGTTTTTGGTAATAACAAAAACCCAAAAACCAAACCCGTTGCTGCCGAGTTGATTCTGACTCATAGTGACCCTACAGGACAGAGCAGAACTGCCCCAAAGAGTTTCCAAGGTCCTATTCTTTACAGAAACAGACTGCCACACCTTTCTCCTGAAGAGCCGCTGGTGGGTTCGAACTGCCGACCTTTCGGTTAGCAATCGAACACTTTAAACCACTGCGCCACCAGGGACCCTTCTGGTGACAGATATCTCAAATGAAATGTTTCTTTTTTAAGAAAAAAGAAATAATGTCAGACAAGATTACACACACCATGCCCACTGTGTGATGTGGGTCACAGATGAGCTGAGGGGAAGGTGGATGAACAAGGTTGGGGGACAGGGCTCCAGGCCTCCCCCTCCTTCTGCTAATGTGCCTGAGGAGCTCTGCCTTCTGAGGCCGCTGAGGCAGGAGCGGCACAGCCCTCGTTGCCCAGCCCAGCCTGTCCCAGGCTCCCCTGAGGCCCTCCAGCCCTGCTCGGCCCACGCATCTCCTCCTTTACCAATGCCCTCCCCCACTCTTTCTAGCCGCTGTCACGACTGCACTCACCTCTGGGACACTGCTGCAGGGTCCTGGGACATTCTGTGGGACCCAAATCACCCTAAGAATGAAATGAGGCCACTAACCCTCTCCCAGGAATTTGTCCAGGCACATGGGCTGAAATCCACCACAGACTCTGCTGTCTTGGGCCCCCTGTGCACCTGGCCCCGTCCTGCCTCCATCTGCCTCAGGAGGGCACGGTCTCTTGCCACCTAGACTGAACCACCCCCTGCAAGGGGTAACACAGCCCCTAACGAGCACAAGAGCAGGCCGGGGCAAGGCGGCCAAGCAAACCGAGTGGGAGGGAGAGTCTGGCCATCCTCCCACCATCTGCCCACCACTTTCTAGGTCTGGGGGAAATGGTGAGCAGTGGAAGGAGGACCAACTCCTTCCTGGGGAGGAGGAATGAGGGCCAAGTGTGGAGGTCCTGGTGCCCGTCAGTGGGAAAGGAGACAGCCGAGGGCCAGGCCTGAGAGTGATGCCCCTGGGAGTTGTGAGGAGGGGGCCCAGGTGTACCCTGCGGTAGACAGCCTCACCTAAACACCCTCTTTCTTAAGACACTCAGTCATGGGTTGTCGGAAACGGTTCTCAGCTCTGGGACAGAGAGCTTTGAGCACACTGCTAGTGACTGTGATGAAAGTGGGACAGCCCAGTGCCTGGGTCACCAGCTGAGTGAGGTGTGTCCCCCCAAGATGGGCGTGGGGCGTGGGACGTGGGACTCCTTGGCTGGCCCCAAGGCAGTAGAGGGGCAAGGAGACCCGGGCACACCACTGGCAGGGCACGAAGTGACAGGCATCACTGCAAGGAGCAGCTGGCCCCTTTCGGGCCTAGAACCCCACACTCTGGCCTGACTTGGACCGTGATGCAGCGGGTCTCATGAGAATACACAGATGACAGTCAGGGACCCACCAGCCTGGGATTTCTTCTTTACAAGCAAGCCCTCTTCCATGTTACCTACTGTGGACGCCCCACACTGAGTCCTAAAGCACCCCCAAGCCTCCAACTGGGGAACTCCCCTGAGGGGCTCGCCCCAGGACCATGCCCAGGAAGGCCATGTGGCGGCTCCTAACAGCGCAGGGACCGTGATTGTTTAAATTAAAAAAAAAAAAAAAAAAAAATCACATGGCCCAACACTCACTGAATCAGTGAGAACAGACCTAGCAATCAGACCAGGCAGTGTTTTGTTCTGTTGTACACAGAGCCGCTTATGAGGCGGAACCGACTTGACGGCACCTAACAACAACAATAACAGTAAGACCTAGCAATATACATGTGTGCTGGGAAAATTCTGGAGCCTGAGCTCATTTTTAATTTCAGTTCAGACGGAACACCTGAAAACAGACACTCAGCACTGTTTTGTCTGCTCCTAATAGCAGGAAGGACAGCTGACTTGGAAATCAAAATGAAATCTAACTTGAGGTAAGTAAGACCCGGAAGCACTGGCTGGCTCCTCCTTCCAGAAAAGCTGCCTTCAGGGAGGCGTGTTCACGCAAATGAAGGTCATGTTAATGACCTTGAAATCAAGCAGAGAGAGAGAGAGAGAAAGAAACAAATGCACAAAATTATCTGAAGTCATTTTTTTTTAATATGACACCATGTTTTTTTAGTGTCTTCTAGAATTAAGAGCAAAGACTAACAAATGAGTAGAATACAAAATTTACAAATAAAATGGGTAAAGCAGCAAAGAAACTTTAAAAATTAAGTTCTGTCAGCTCAGGATGTTAAGATTTCTTAAGAGAACGTACCACTTCTTTATCACTAAAAAGCAAACGTGAGGTGCAAACCCAGCAGTGTTTCCAAGGGAAATGTTTCGCCCCTGACCCTCTTTGGGCCTCTGGAGCCCAGCAAATAAACTAGCCTGTCCCCAGCGGGGGAGCCCACGGCCTCAGGGGCTCACCTTTCTACTCTTTGGTTAGAAAGAGCTAAACAAGGGCTGGGCGAGGGCAGTGTGGAGGAGCCCTCCCGGGTGACCTCAACTCTCCTTCCCCTTGGCTCCTCCCTCCTGTCCTCCTGCTCTAAGAGTGTGCCCACAACTCAGGGTGGGGTTGCCACTTCCCTCATCGAAGCAGCAGAGGCTGGCGGGAGGCCAGGTGGAGAGTGAAGGTCCTGTGCACCCCCCGAGGCTCCTGGCTGACACTGGGGGCAATTCTGAAGGTCCCCCAGCACTCTGAGAGACATAGGCCTTGCAGAACTTCCAGAAAGGAGGCCAAATCCCCAGCAAAGGATGAGAGGTCACGGGAGTGACCTCCCTTGGGATGGTGGGCACGTGTGTGCCCGAGACCCCGGGGGAAAGCAAGGTGGGCTGGGGTGTTCTTAGAGGTGGGCTCCACTGGCGCTAGGCCGCGGCTAGAAGAGCTACCAGCAAAGGCAAAGCAGTCTGGATGCAATCTGGACAAGGAGGGCCACAGGGGCAGACGGCAGCCAGCACGGCCACCACGCATGTCCGGGGCAGCCTGCTTGGATGGCCCCATGTGGGGTGAGGAACAGACACGGGCACTGACTAGCCAACTAGCCCTTGAAGGTCAGTAAAGGAGACTTTAGGGACCACACCAAGCAAATGGCATCCTTCCCGCCCACCCCAGAGAGAAGGGGCTGAGGAAGGAGGTGATGTGAGTGAATGGACACACGGCCTCCAGCACAGCTTGGGGTCGGAGTGGGTGTCTGCACCAGGCCACACGCGGTACCCAGGGCTCCCAGAAAATGCCAGTGACCTGAGCCTGCAGACCAGGCTCCAGAAGCCAGAAATGACAGTGGGACAGGGCATGGGTGGTCATCCGCTCCCCTCCCTTTCACCTACAATGGTGGCTCAGGGCCACAAGCTGCCTGTCCCTCCCAAGGCAGTGCCCTAGCACATGCCCAGCTGACCTTCCACAGTAGGGGTGGGAGGAGGGGGAGAACACAGTAAAATGCCCACGCTCTCCAACCCTCATTGCCACAGGTCAGGAGGCTGGCCCATCTAGGAGGAGATCTCAGAGCTATCCCTTCCTGGGACCCTGCTGTGTGCTCTAATCTGCAGCCTGGGGCTGGCCATGCTGAGGAGGTGATGAACGCACCGTGTTGAAGAACATGAAAATCAACTGTGGACAATTCCATCAGCTTCACTGAGCTCTGTGGGCAAAAACTGTTCCTTTCTGGTTTGGCAGCAAATCCCCACTATTGTTGGGAACAGAATTTAGGAGCCTGAAGACAGGGACGGCCCACACACCCTGTTCCACAGATGGAACCAGGGGGGCAGACGGGTAGGGCAGCCAGAGCTACTTCTACCAGGGTGTGTGAGCCTTAGCCCGCCTGTGCCTGGCCGCTATATGCAAAGTGCAGAGCCAAGGTGTTATGTCCAGTACTGAGATGACTACGGACGGTAGTGACGGGACTTGCTGTCTTCGAGCTTTGTGGGCTTTGAAAGTGCTATGGGCGGTGGGGTGGGAAGTGCTCATCAGAACAGTCAACCCTGTAGCTTCAGGGAATGAGCAGGGATTCTGGGTCATAAAAAAAGATGATTTTGCACTGTAATCGTAAACCATAAAGACGATTTTGCACTGTAATCGTAAACCGTCTGCCTGAAATAAAACCAGCAGAACACGGACAGCAGCCTTTCCACCCCCTCCCCCACAAACAGGCAAGGCTGGGACATGTGGGTGCCTGAGGGAAGGTGTCAGCACTTCTCGGTGTTTCCACCAAAACGAGCTGGCCTAGCCCGGGGGCTTCGCTCATCCTCGTTTACCTCTGCAGCCTCATGAAACAAAAGCCAATGTCATCTCATGGCCGCTCTCTTCACTTGTGAAATCACTAATGACACCCCCCAATCAGCGGTCTGTGTTCCCCAGAACACCTGGCCCTGACTTGGAGGACGACGCCCCTGGTGCACCGCGGCTGCTGGTCGTACCTGTGGTCTGGTCCACGAGCACACGGGAGTTGATGATGCGTCCAAACCGCGAGAACATGTCCTCCACATCCTTCTGGGTCATGGTCCTAGGGAGCCCGCTGATGTACAAGTTGGCATCTTTGATGACCTCGGAGCTCGGGCGGGCGTACGACACCTGGGAAACAAAGGCACTTTCCAGGATTGGGGCAGATGGGAACCAGAGCCTGGCGAGGGAGGGGGTTTGATGTGCAGGTCAGAGCGATCACACACAGGACCACTGACGCCTGGTAACACTCGTCCCCAGCAGCTCCCATGGGCCAGGCACCTGACACTGTCTCCCCCTCAGTCCTCGCCATCCCCATGAGGCAGATGTCACTCCTGCTTTACAGAGCAGACGCACTGAGTCCCAACTGGCTGGGATCCAGACCCAGCCGCCTATGCTCATACGCCCTCCATCACGTGCTGGCCAAGAGCTGGCCTTGGGATGGGAGCTGGTGCTGCTGGGAGGAGCCGGTGCAGCAGGCAAGCGTCAGGAGTTGTTCTAAGTGTGACGCCATTGGCAACTGAGTGCATGAGCCACAGGAGCCCAGACAGGGCCGTGAGTTCTGGGGGAGCCCGAGTTCCACACTCAAGTGCTCAGTGGGAAATGACTGGGTGCCTTGGCTTATGTTTTGCAAAGTATGTTGCTGTTGTTGTTAGCTGCCATTGAGTCAACCCCAACCCGTGGATGGGATATGACTGCTGTAATCCACAGTTTTCATTGGCTGATTTTTAGGAGAGTGCCAGGCCTTTCTTCTCAGTCCATCTGAGTCTGGAAGCTCCACTGAAACCTGTTCAGCATCACAGCAACACACAAGCCTCCCCTGACAGACGGATGGTGGCTGCACATGAGGTGCACTGGCCAGGAATCGAACTTTGGTCTCCCACACAGAAGGTGAGAATTCTACCACTGAATCACCACTGCCCCTTGCAAGATTTAAGAAGACCTAAAGGGAACTTCTGCCGTGGCTTAGATCAAATGTGCACATGTGCTGAGGACAGAGGGCAGTGGCGCTGGCGGCCGCATGGACCCGACTGCAGACGACAAGGACTGGGACCATGGTCACCCTCTGCAGGAAAGGAGCCCAAAGCAGCTGGGTGCTGAAGCCAAGGGCGAGGAAGCCTTTCTGCCGCAAAGAGGTGGCTGGGAAGGCCAGGACTCCATCACACCCAAGGGAGTCAGAACCGAGTCAACAGGCTGGGAAAGCGAGGAAGAGGACACAGGGCACTGTGGGCTGGGGAAGAAAGCGTGTACTCCTGGAGGGTCACAAAACTGATGAGAGGAGGGACTGTGACCCCAGGGCAGGGAGCAGCTATAACCTCTGAGGTATCCCCAGTCAGGTGAGGGCATGGACGACAGCGTGTGCTCCGACGACAAGGTCAGGCCTGTCAGGACAGCTCTATGTGCCAAGCACAGGCACACACCCACGTCCACACACAGAGCCCTTCACTCCTGTGTTCACTGACTCAGAAACGCTCACCGAGCACCTTCAACGTTCCCGGAGAGCAGACCACAGGCACTGCCCTGCCCTCCAGCTGAAGAGGCAGAGTGGGATGGGAGCCCCTGTAGTGTGGCCAGAGCTGACTCCCCCTGACGGGGCTCAGGAGGTGAGCACACAAGAACAGACAGAAGTGCCGCTGACAGGGAGGAGGCCACAGGGCATGGGGCATCAGAGGGCAGGCAGGCCCCCAAGGAAGCTGTGCTGCTCAAGCTAGACTTTGCCTGAAAGCTTCCCTGTGCTGCTTCCAGGCCCCAGGCACCTTGGTCAGGTTTGTGGCACGAATGCTTTGGGGATACTTGGTGACGTGATTATTCTTCAAGGCCTGGGGCCGACACAGCACTGTCCCCTGAGGAAAAGCGGCTTGGCCCCCAGCCCCTTCCCGCAGAGGGGGGTGGCCACCAATCCGCTCGGGTTTGTCGTGCTCCTCATCTTGCAGAGAAGCCAGCTCTCTCCTGCTCGTCTGGGCTTAAAGGGCCCAGGCCGACCACCACAGAATACCCCACATCAACTCCTGCCAGAGGGCACCGCCCCCACCGTGTGCTCTCCAGTTTTCCCAGAAGCCCTGGCGAGAGACATGGTATGAGGACAGCATGGCTGGGGGAAGAAGGCAGGCCCGGCAGACTCCAGTCACCCTGTGCGTGCCCAGGATGTTCTGCTCGGCCCTTGGCAGACGTGTCAGGACCAGTCTGCGTGTGGGGTCTGCCGTCGATGGAACAGAGTTGAGGCCATCACTGACTCTACTTATTATCCTCTGCTCCAGGAATCCCCACAGGAGAATTATTTTTAGAAACAAATGCTAGGAAAAGCTTCGATGCCTTTGAACAACAGGCGTCTTTAAGGACTATGGTAACTATTTTAGCTTTCCTTTTCCCTTCAGTCACTGCGAAGTTCAGGGTCAAATCAGAATCATACCCACTGGAGAACCTAGCACACAGTGGGTGTGCAACAACCTGGCAGCGTGCCCAGGGCCTTTGCTCAGCCTGGAAGGCTCTTTTCTAAGCTCCTGGCATGACTCTCTCCTTTGCCTTGACCTTAACTGTCCTGTTCTCAAGAAACTTTCCCAGCCACTTGATTTAACCCGGACCCCTCCACCCACAAGCACTCCGAACCTCTCCCATCGCTATTTAGTTTTCTCCATCAGCACTTACCGCAATCTGATGTTCTATATCAGTACTAGTTGCTGTTGCGCTGACTCCGACTCATAGTGACCCTGTGTGTTAGAGTAGAACCGTGCTCCATAGGAACACAGGTTTTCAATGGCTAATTTTTTGGAAGTAGATTGCCAGGGACTCAAACCTCCAACCTTCTGGTTAGCAGGGAGCACATTAACCACCAGCACCACCCAGGGCCTCCTGGCAGAGGATGTGTTTTACTTAACTGTTTAGAACAAACCTGATGAGGGCAAAACTTCTTTGCCTACTGCTGCATCCCCAGTACCTCGAACAGATTCGGGCCAACTGTAGGCATCCAGTAAATATTTGTTGAATGAATGGCTAAAAGAGGAGCTGTGATTACTAATGGTAATAGGATTCCCCACCCACTGCAGTACTGTGCAGGACCGCTCGGCCCATCAAGCTCCATCTCCATCCCCCAGCGCCCTGCTGTGTAGCCAAGAAAAGTTCTATTTTCACGGCTCCTTGTATTTATTTCCCATTTTTACTGGGGAAACAGCCTGCGCTGGGTTAAGTGCCCAGAGCCAAGGCACCGGTTTCAAACTCTGGCTTTGTCCCTTTCTCTATGACCGTGGAACGGCTATTTAACTACGTTAAACATCAGCTTCTTCAAGCCTAACTGGGGAAGATGACTAAGACAGGGCATGTGAGGGCCTGGCCCACCGCGAGCCCTCGCGATCCGCTGCTGTATGCATTACGCAGGGTCACATCATGCTCTAGCAATGACACAGGGCTCCACTTTGATCACCATGCTCAGCCCGACACATCCAAGTGCCTGCCACAGCTCTGGTCTGGACGACTACGGTGCCTGGGCTGCTGTCACAGGGGAAAAGATGGAGTGGGGACAAAGTAAACACAGCTAAGGGGACAGGCAGGTCCAGGCTGGCTGTCCAGAGTACCGGGACCTCAAGAGCCTGGGGCTCGGGAAGAGCCTTCATGTGCCCCTGCCTGCAGTGTCAGACGGGGGCTGTGGCCTTGGGGGACAGCTCCCAGTTCCCAGAACATGCTAGCCACCAGTTCCCTGAAATGCAGTTGCCTTAGCCTCCTGACTTCCCGAGGGCAGGCTACACTGATTCCGCTGGCCACGGGATCCTGGCAGAGGACCGTCCTCAAACACACACTGGGGACTAACGAGCGCACACTCCATGCCGGCCTTTGTTTGGCTGAGCAGGGGAGTCACCTTCTAACTGCAGGCTCTCGAGGGTGCGGCACATGACTTACATCTCCTGATCTCGGGGCACCTGGCCCAACCACATCTCTGTAAGGGTTTGCTTGAGGAACACACTCCGAGGACAAAGGACCTCCAGAGCATGCCGGGCAGCAGGCCCAGGTAGCCTGCAGAGCCAAGACAGTGGGGGCAGCCACTAGGAAGCAGATTCTGGTCTTAAAGACAGAGCTGCAACGGAGTGAGAATGTCTGCACAACTTGAAGAATGGACACAAGGTCACTGAACTGAATGTAAAAATTAATGAATTGCTGCCTGTCAGGCTGCACGCATGTCATTATTATAAAAAAAGACAGGGCTGTAAAAGTGGGGCGGCTGCCCCACCCACACGACCAGGAGGATGTGGAGGGGGTAGCCCTTGCGTGTTCCTGGCCCCTGTGGGCCTATGAGCTCTGGTCTTTGGCCTCAGGAAGGGCCATTCCCTTCAGTCTTTCTTGCTCCTGGGCCCCACCGGTGGAATCCTTATTTTTAAGGCATACCCTGACTCACCCCACACATGTGATCGAGCATTTGCAGCCATTAAGAGAAAGTAACTAATTGCCCAATTCTGGCTCCAACTCCCAGAGGACATAGTGAGGGGCGTCTAAGTTACATATCCCGGACTTGGAATGATAGATGCCAATGCCAATCCCAATGAGGCGCAATGATTAGAAGCACACATGGGGACGTCTGGGTCCCTGGGTGGTGCAAATGGTTAAGCACTGGGCTACAAACCACAAGGCTGGCAGTTCGAACCTACTGAGAAGCACCTTAGAAGAAAGGGCTGCCAATCTACTTCTGAAAAATCAGCCATTGAAAACCTTTTACGGAGCTCAGTCCTACTCTGACAAACATGGGGTCACCATGAGTCCGTTTGGTTTTGGTTGTGAAGTAACAGATTGTCTTCGTTTCCTAGTACTGCTGTAACAGAAATACCACAAATGGGTGGCTTTAAAGAACAAAAATTCCTTTTCTCACCGTTCAGGAGGCTAGAAGTCTGAAGTCTGAATGCAGGGCGTGGCTCTAGGGGGAGGTCCCTCCTTATCTAGTGTAGCTTCTAGTAGCTGCCGCAATCCCTGGAGTTCTGGGCAGGTAGGTTCATCTGTCTCTCCTCATCAGATAGCACCTGTCTTCCCCTGGTGTCTGTTTCCTTCTGCGTCTAATCTGCTCTTTGTAGTGATTGGGTTTAGGGCACACCCTATACAGATACGGTACCATTAACACAGCAAAGGAAACCTGATTTCCAAATAGGATTATTTCCACAGATATACATATACACATGTACAAAAATATCAGCATAGGGTATATCCTAAACCTAATCAGTACAAAGAGCAGAGTGGCGCAGTGGTTAACAGCTCCGCTGCTAACTAAAAGGTCAGCAGTTTGAATCTACCAGCCATTTCCTGATAGATTCTACTATGTCCTATAGGATCAGTTCTACTCTGTCCTATAGGGTTGCTATGAGTTGGAATTGACTTGACAGCAACGGGTTTGGTTCTTTTGGTCTGGATCTATACATATTTTTTGGGGATACAATTCAATCCATAACACAGATATTCCTGGATTTGAGACAACGCCAACATCAATCCTAAAGAGACGCAAGGACTAGAAGCACATATGGGGACGTCTTTTTTTTTTTTTTAAATACATTTGAACGAACAGAACTATCAGGTTAAGAATAACTTTCTGCTCTATACCTCAGCCTGTCTGCCTCAGAAACCAGAGCATACAAACATCTCCTAAATGAGGAGGGCAAGTCTAAAGGACAGCAGCCTTGGGCAGAGAATAAACTTGGGCTGGGGTGAGGGCAGACGTCGCCATGCAGGTGACATGGGACAGCCTTCACCAGTCTCTGCTGCAAAAGGAGCCTTCTGGAGCTTGTGCTATAAACAGACACAGGAGAAGCACTCCTGCCCTTGGGGAGCACACACTCTGGGTCCACACAGCCCAAGTAGAGTCTAAGAAAGTTCCAGAAGAGTGAACAGTGCCCTGTGGTCAGGGAAAGTGAGAGCTTAACAGCAGGTACAGACTCACACACACAAAAAAACAGGGGCGCAGTGGTTAAGTGTTCGGCTGCTGACCAGAAGTTTTGCAGTGCGAATCCACCAGCTGCTCCTTGGAAACGCTATGGGGCAGTTCTGCTCTGTCCTGTAGGGGTGCTATGAGTCAGCATTGACTCGAAAGCAATAGGGCTTACAGGCTCACATCCTCCAAAGCGAACACGGGTTGTTACGGCCAGATTATAAGACTTCCCTAGGGGGCTCGAGCATAACAATGATTGTGAGGATGGTGCAGGACTGTATGTGGGGTCACAATGGCACCTAACAACAGGAACACAGGAATGGCATGAACACAGGCTCCCAGGCCCACCACTCAGGAGGCCCAAGCTGGAGTGTGGGAACCTGTATTTAAACAAGTACCCAGGTGGTTCTGATGATCCAATAAGCTTAGGAAGCATAGCCATGGTACAGATCCCAAGTGGGACCACTGTGATGAATCAGAGGGTATCTGCCTATGGGGTGGGGGATCTGGTATATCCAAACACTCATGCAGTGGGTTGAATTTTGCCCTCCCCCCCCGGATTATAGGCCCCAAGTCTTAACCCCTGGTACCTGTGAATGTGACCTTGTTTGGAGCTAGGGTCTTTGCAAATATAATTAAGAAGTCTATGGGTGGTACAAATGATAAACATGCTCAGCTACTAATAACTAAAAGGTTGGAAGTTTGAGTCCACCCAGAGGTACGTGCCTTGGAAGAAAGGCCCGGCAATCTATTTCCAAAAATCAGCCACTGAAAACGCTATGGAACACAGTTCTGCTCTGATGCACATGGGGTCGCCACGAGACAAGGGTTGAGCTGACGGCAACTTATTTTTTTTAAGATTAAGTTAAAGCTCTTGAGATGAGATCATCCTGGATTTCGGGTAGGCTCTAAATCTAACTATTGGTGTCCTTAAAAAAGAGAAAGAGGGAGATTTGCGACACAGAGCAGACGGCCACGTGACCACGGAGGCAGAGATTAGAGCGAGTGGCCAGAAGTCAAGGAACGCCAAGGACTGCCGACAATGTCAGAAGCTAAGAGACAAGGAAGAATCTTCCTGTAGAGTCTGTGGAGGGAGCATGGCCCTGCCAACACCCTGATTTCAACTTCCAGCCTCCAGAATTGTGGGCAGATCCATTTCTGTGTCTAAGCCGCCAGTCTGTGGTGACGTGTTGTGGCAGGCCTAGGGCACCCACATGGCTCGGGCAGGGTCGTCTCCTTCCCCACTGCTACAAGTGACTCTGGCAGGTGTGTGCCTTAGCAACAAGAGGTGAAGAACCAGCTGCGGCACCGTGGGGGTGAACCCTGAGGAGCAGGCCGAGTGGAGGCTGTGGGTGCAGCTGCTGCAGGAGGCCAGGTGGGGGGCCTGCTGGGCGGGGGGAGAAGGCTTTCTAGAGGGAGGCTCAGCAGTGCCAAGGCTGACAGGAGACGGGGGAGTGAAAGGCGGGAGCAACACCTAGTTTCTCCAGGTGGCAGGCCTAAGGGACAGCTGCCAGAGATCCTGGGGGACAGACACTTGGGGACAGGAGGGAGTGAGGTGGAGGTGGGATCCCGGGCTGAGAGAACCACAACCAGAGAGGAGGGAGTGGTCAGTAGTAGCAGGTTAAGAAGACTCTGAAGGCAGAGAAAACCATTCTGCGTGACCTGGAGGCCTCGCTAACTCATCACTAGGAAGCCACCAAAGCCCAACTTGGGGAGTGACTCCAGGGATGTTCTGCTGAGGCTCACTCCCTCACTTCCCTCAGGCCTCCACTCACAAGTCCGCTGACTGCGTGAAGCCCCCCACCCCATGCACCTCCAGAGCTCTTATCTCTCTGCCACATGTGGCTTCTCGGTTTCAGCTTATTGTTTGTGATCCTCCCCCTCCCCGGCTCTATGAGTGTCCTGGATTTGTTCTGTTCACTGTCTGGCGCACAGGTGCTCAGGAAAGATCTGCCAAATGAGTGCTGAGTGAACAGGTGAGAGGAAGATCACACGGGCTGTGAGGGAGTAGAAAGGGAGGCTGGGCCGCGGGTCAGGTCGGATGGCGTGGTGGCAGCGGCAACAGCCAAGGCGTGAGCAGCAGGAGGGCTGGCCAGAAAATGTATGGGGACGAACACTGTACGGCAGAGGCGGGTCTGCGAAGAGGCAACCTGTGAGCTGACACACCGTGGGAACTGTAAGACCCTTCTCGGGACTCTTTACTGTCCATGGACTAGCGGGGCTGAGGAGGACATGAGCCACCAGCCTAAGGCTGGGGACAGTCACCGCCAACATGCATCTGACACAAAACGCTTCAACTATGAATGGACAGGAGACCACAGATGCCCAAGAGTACCAGGCTCTAAGGAGTGGCCGCAACAACGATCTCAACATTTGGGGTGGGGGGTCACTCAGCCAGGATGGGGCAGCCCAGTCTCTGGCCTAGGACAGGAAGGAGCGAAATGGAACAAATGAAGGACAGGAGATAAAATTGCTTTACCTTAATGGTTTTGGACTGGAGCCTCAGGCCGTTCAGCGTGTTTATTGCTCTTTCCGCGTCTTTGGCAGTCACGTAGTTCACAAAGCCATAGCCCAAGCTGTGTCCTGTGGGAGAACATGAGGACATTGGCAAACCAGCCGAGACTGTGTGTGCGTGAAAAGAACGAACGTGAGTAAATCCTAACTAACCAGCTGCCATCTAGTCAACTCTGACTCCTGGTGACTTCATGAGTGTCAGAGCAGAACTGTGCTCCACAGGGTTTTCTACGGCTGATTTTTGGGAAGGAGATCGCCAGCCCTTTCTTCTGAGGTGCCTCTGAGTGGACTTGAACCTCCAATCTTTTGGATAGAAGCCAAGCACATTAACCATTTATACCACCCAGGACTCCAAATAAATCCTACTGGGTTCAAAAAGACTAGGTCACCCTGACTTTCTGTTAATGGTGGTGGAATAATTTCGAAAAGGATAGTGGTGATGGTTGCACAACATGATGAATGTAACTAATATCACTGAATTGTATGTGTAAAAACTGTTAACTTGGCAAATGTCTTCTATACATATTTTTTTACTATTTTTTTTTTTTTTAAAAAGACTAGGTCAAAGAAAATTTTTGTAGAAAATACACCAAAATCATCTTTGAGGAGTTGGATTATTGGCGGTTCCGTGGTAGAATTCTTGCCTCCCATGTGGGAGACCTGGGTTCGATTCCCAGCCAATGCACCTTGTGTTCAGCCACCACCCGTCTGTCAGTAGAGGCTTGTGTGTTGCTCTGATGCTGAACAGGTTTCAGCAGAGCTTCCAGACTAAGAAGAGGAAGAAAGATCCGGTGATCAACTTCCAAAAATCAACCACTAAAAACCCTATGGATCACAATGGTCTGATTCACAACTGATTACGGGGATGGTGCGGGACTGGGCAGCATTTCATTCCATTGTTCATGCTCGACTCCAGCAGCTGAGGATAACCTTACACTTCTTTGGTAACTTAAAAATTTTCTGCAATAAACAAATTTACTCTTGAAATTAAAAGAAAAGGTTATTTAAAAAGAAACATTGTGTTACTGCCTGCCTCCTGCAGAACCGCTCATCAAATCCACAGTACCGCCCAGTCTGACTGGTGTGGCTGCTCTGCTGGGCCTGGGTGGGTGGGTGGCAGGAGGATAGTCACAGCAGGTACACAGGCGGGTGGCTGAGGAGGAGGAGGAGACGGAGGACCAGCTGTCTGCGTCTGTGCTATTTCTCCTGCCACTTCCTTTCCTAGAGCTGGAAGGTTCGCTGGGCTCTGGCGCCACCCAGTGCCACTTCCATTTACTTTCCCAAAACAAAGACCAACCCGCCCCTCGGGAGCATGAGAAGCTGGAGCAGAGAGAACCCCCAGCCCAGTAGGGCAGCCCTGACCAGGACCTCAGCTCAGCCAAGTGTCCAGGGCTTCTCCCAGCAGCAATGACATCTTAACAGGTTCACCACATCAAGTTTGGGGAAGTCGAAAGCAATGGGAAAACTGGAGCTCTTCAGTCAAAGAAAACCAGGGTTCTGGGTAGGGTGTCTGCACTTCATCTTTGTGAAATCCACAGTCCTGGCAGGAAAGACCACCAACTGGACACCCGGGAGGGAAACAGCATAGCAGGGGGAGGGGCCCTGGGTTCCAGAGAGACCCAGACAGAAGCAACTGCCCAGGGTCGGAGTTCAAAGGAGCCTTACAGAGCATCTACTCAACATTCTCAGTAAAGGAGAGACCAGAGGAGGCCTAGCCACATAATAACACCCATCTCTCATCCATTCACCCCAAAGCAGCGAGCACCCACAGCGTACACCAGGCCCTGCCTCACCGAGCTTTGTTCCAGCCTCCAGGGTCCGAGGCAGGCATGGCTTGGGCTCCGTGTGTGCGGGCACGTGTGCATGTGAGACACAGGCCAGCAAGGCCTCGTTGCAGAGCCACACTGAAGAGACCCTGCAGCTGAACCCAGGTCCATCTTGCAGGTAAGAAGAATGCAGACCCAGACTATGAACCCAGCAGACAGCCCCGACCCAGTTTTGCCACTTTCTTCTTGCCTCCATGAAGATTACAGCCAAGAAAACCCTATGGAGTACTTCTACTCTGTAACACATGGGGGTGCCATGACTCAATGGCAACAGATTTACTTTTTAGAATAGTTTTAGATTTACAGAAAAACTGCAGCTAGTACAGAGTTCCCATATACCCTACACGGTTTCCTCTAGTAGTAACATCTTATATTAGTGTGGTACATTTGTTTCAATTAATGAACCAATAATGATACATTATTACTAATGAAACCCCAGACTGTCACTCAGCTTTATTTAGTTTCCCCTAATGTTGTTTTTCTAGAGCCCTGGTAGCGCAGTGGTTAAGAGCTTGGATGCTAACCAAAAGGTCGGCAATTCGAATCCACCAGCTGCTCCTTGGAAACCTTACGGGGCAGTTCTATTCTGTCCTATACAGTGGCTGTGAGTTGGAATTGACTTGATGGCAAGGGCTTTGGTTTTGGTTAATGTTCTTTTTCTATAGGAGCCCTGGCAGCTCAGTGGTTAAGAGCTCAGCTGCTAACCTAAAGGTAGGCGGTTCAAACCCACTCAGTGGCCCCGCAGGAGAAAAGACCTGGCAATCTGCTCCTGTAAAGGTTACAGCCTAAAAAATCCTATGGGGCAGCTGTACACTGTGAGTCAGAATGGACTCAACTGTACCCAACAACTATGTCTTTTTCTGGTCTAGGATCCCATGTGGGATCCCACATTGCATGTAGTCGTCACATCTCCTTAGGCTCCTCTTGGCTGTGACAGTGTCTCCGTCTGAAACTTATAAAATTTTAAATAATTTACTTTACATTTTGTTGTTGTTGAGAATATACACAGCAAAACGTACACCAATTCAACAATTTCTATGCATACAATTCAGTGACACTGAGTACAATCTTCAAGTTGTATAACCACTCTCACCCTCCTTTTCTGTTTCTCCTCCATTCACATAAACTCACTGCCCCCTAAGTTCCTAAGTTTTGAGTTGCTGTTGTCAGTTTGATCCCATATGGACAGATCTTAAAAGAGCATAATGCTCAAGGCAAACATTCTTTACTAGTTAAGTTAAACTATTATTTGGTTTTCAGAAGACCTCAGGGAATATTTTCGGTTTAAGGTTTAAAGATTATCTCAGGCAAAGAGTTTCAGGGGTTAATCCAGCCTCCATGGCTCGAGAAAGGCTGGAAATGAACATTCGAAATTCTATTCTGCATTTTACCCCTTTTGATCAGAATTCTTCTATTGAATCTTTGCTCAAAACAGTCAGTAACGGTAGCACCATCCAGTTCTTCCAGTCTCACGTCAAAGGCTGTTAGTTGTTCATGGAGGCAATTAGCCTCACATTCTACTTCCTCCTCCCATTCCTGGCTCTTTCTTGCTCCAGGTGAATAGAGACCAATTGCTGTGTCTTAGATGGCCACTTGCAAGTTTTTAACACCCCAGGCACTATGCAAGGAACTAGGAGGTAGAGCAGAAGCACTAAACAGGACATTATTAAGACAATTAACTGGGATGTTCCATGAAACCAAGATCCTAAACCTCCAAACCAAGGAACTAAATCCCATGACGTATTTGGTTGTAAATAAGTAGCCTCAGTACTCTTTTTTAATTTTTGTTGTTGTTGTTGTAGTAAATACGTTTACCACACAACTTTTGCCAATTCAGCTTTTTACAGGTGTACGACTTACTGACAGCACTTATAATAATTGACTGTGCAACCCTAGTCTTAATCAATGTGATTTTTCCATCACTGTAAACCGAAACGCAAACTCAGTACTCCATAAGCAATAACCTCCCCATTCCCCTCCCTTCCACCCCTGGTAACCACTAATAAACTTTAGTCTCTATACATTTGCCTTTGCGTGTCTTTTTATATGACTGAGGTCATACGATATTTGTCCTTTTGTGACTGAATTATTTCACTTAGTATGTCTTCCAGCTCCATCCATACTGTAGCATGCATCAAGACTTCCTTTCTCCTACTGGCTGAGAAGCCACACCTTGTTTTTGATGACTGTGGCAGTCCTGAGGTGCGCTGGTCAGGGATTTTGTAGACTATCCCCTGGCGCTTTTCTCGTGGTTATGCTGGGATGAAGACCACGGGGTAAAAACGCCCTTCTGATCACATGGCATATAAGATGACCTTTCACTGTTGATGCTGACCTTGACCTCCTGGCTGAGGTGTTTGTCAGGTGTCTCCACTGTGAAGTTACTCTGCTCTTGGGAAGAAGTCACCTTGCACAGCCCACACTTGAGCAGTGGGGAATTCTGCCTCCCCTCCAAGGCAGAGGAGCTACAGAAATGTGTTGGAATCTGCTCAAGCCACTTTCTTTTTTAAAGAAACAAAACCAAAAGCTGACCCCTAGGCCTATATTCCTAAGAAAACACTGTGGGTCTTAGAGGCTCCCGGGCAGCCTGCTGCCCCAGGGCAGCTACTTGGAGGGCTCTGAGCTCTCGACCAAGGGAGGGCCTGGGAACAGGGGAGCTGGGGGCCGAGAGCACTACTCCCGGCTCAGAGAGCTAGGAGCGGCTCCAGGGTGGGGCCCTGTGGGGTCCGTGCAGATGCTCCAGCTACAGATGATGGACCAAAGGACACAGAATGTCTGTGATGTGGGTTTCTGACCATGACTCCAGTCTCGTGCACACCTGCTCTCACCTCCTCTCCACCTCCTGCCGTGCCCAGGCCATCAGCCTGTCCTTGTCAGCCTGAACCCTGGACGCAGCCCGCCTGCCTCTCTCTGGCCAGTGCCACCCACCCACAAGGCCAGTGCCGATCTGGACCGTCTGTATCCTTTGCTCCTAGTTGTCTCAGGTGGGGAAACCAGACAGCAGTGAGCACACGGCCCCAAACCTGAGACCTCTGGTCTCTGCCAGGCCTCCAGGAGCCTTGGGCCTTGTTCCTGTGTCTCCAGCTGTACCTGCTTCCTCCTTCTGACCCTTCACCTCCCAGAAGCTCGGTGGCCCCGTTGGGCTGCCCTGGGGTGGACGCTGCCACCTCTGCTGGCACCAAACCAAGCCCGTCCACGCCGTCCTTCGTGCTGAGCCCACGGGCAGTCTCAGACTCATCTCCC